TTACGGATTAAAAATATAATTTGAGTTTTAAAATTAAAATAAATCTTTATTGCGGGATTTAAATTAAGGAATCTGCACAATGGACTTAGAATTAATTTACTATGGCTTATAGTGCAGCACAAAATGAGTATAGATTAAATAACTACCAAAAATAAAACGTAGGATCGATTAATTAATTTACTGACTATAAATCATTTTCAAACTCAGAATTACCCCTATGGTAACTGATTGTGATCTGCCAGTATTTTATAGATCACACTTAGTACTATTCATACAAATGCTTTTGAAATTTTTAATAAAGATCAACTGTTAAATTCAGTGTGGCAAAATCAGTTAACGTTTAAATTTTAATTTTATTTATAAAAAGTATAAGAAAAAGTATATAAAATTTATTTATAAAAAGTATAGCTCTCAAACTAGAAAATAAAAAACACAATAATTTCTACTTCAATGAAACAATTTGTTATCATCATGATGCACAGAGAATGTTTCCTTAATTTTGTCAACAGACAAATAAGATAATTAACTGGATAGCTTTATATAAATGTTAATTGCAAAGAATACATTATTTAGACATAATTTATGTAAAATCGTATAACTGAAGCAAACATGGGACAAAAATAAAAAAAAAAATGAACATTTTAAAACCAAATAAAGTGACTAAAAAAATTTAAAGTCATATTTTCTGATTTTTAAACCAAACATTATGTTCCGAACACTATAATAGAATAATAAAATAAAATTGAATTTTAAAATAACGAAACCCCAAAAATGTAATCGATTAAGACATTGCGGTTCAGAAAATTAGTCTTCTCAACATTTATCATGCCTTCCGGAAATGAGTTGTCTGTGTTAATGTTATTTGTTAAATCAATATAACGTCAACATCATGTAATTACAGTCATGTAATATACTCAAAGGGATTTTAAAATTATATAACCTTTATACCTGTAAAAGCAAATAAGAAATTTTTTTATTAAATTATCTTTTACAGACATATACTTTTTTCAGTAATTTGTCGTCATAAAAGTTTATAAAATAAAAACAAAAACGCATCACACTTAACGCATTAGCATAATACTGGCCTTTATGAATATAATTTAATTTTTAATATCAACAATTGTAACTATGTACTGGTTACTATCGGAAGGACGAACAACAGTAAACGAAGATAAAATGTATTCCTAAAAAACACTTGTTTATACCATAAATCTATGACTTCCTACGTGAAATACATTTTAATATTACCTAGTCCTCGGAAAGAGTCATTCTAATGAAATATAATTTATAATCTGTTTTCAACAATTTAATGTAAGAAATTTCATATAGACTTCTTAAGTTCTAAGTAGCCAAATTATATTTATGCACATAATTTACAATATATATTTTTATATGATACATTTATAACACACGCGAAATAACATTACTGACACGTATGTAAATGTAAAATGTTTATTGAATTATTTAAAAATATTTAATACAGTACAAATGTAGAAAGTAAATTTATTTTACACTTCAACAATAACAGATATCATATATTTTAAAATCATATCAATTGCTATTTTTGAGCGATTATTGTATGTTATTTAAGAAAATTATAATATATTATAATATAATAACCCAAAAATACAAAAATAAAATAGAATGCTGAGGTTCGTGGAATGAGTGGGGGATGAGGATGTGGTATAAACGGGTTGTTACTTTCCTCCTTGTTTAAAGGAGGGCTCTCGGGGTTGAGAAGGTTCAAGAGCCGATCAGCGCAATTGTACAGTCTGCCAAACTAGATAAAACAGCACTTACTTGTTCGCCGTAAAACTTCTGATGCCGACGCGAGGTTGAAAAAGAAAGAACAAATGCAGAATTTAATAACACTAGAACTGGATATTCTTCAACACTCGTACGAAGAACGCAAGTCGAACAGATTAAAATAATTCAATATTTTTTTATTTAAGTTAAACTTAAATGAGTTAAAACAAATCGCATGTATAAATACATAAATCGCTCGTCGTTGATCTTATAATCGGTGCGCATGCACTGACGACCTAAGATCAAGAGCTCTGTGTGTAGAGTGTGTGTGTGTGTCCCTGTTATATAGGCACATGTGGCGGCATGGACCTTGGGCCTGTCCTTTTAATGTAGGGATGTCAATACTACTATTGTTCGACCCGTGTCGTTCGTGCGGGTATCGAAGGTACCGTTATTTATTTGAAAGGGTTTAAAAATAACGTACATATAGATTGCATACATAATAAAATATTTGTGCCGTCTTTAACAGTCAAATGATGCACATCATTACAACAATTATACAAAAAAAAAAGGGTAATAATCATTATAAAAAAATATAATACAGGTTTCTACAATATCCTTCAATCTTCGTCTACAATAGTAGGCATTTTCAATGAGGCTTTCTTCATGATCGGTTTTTCCCGTTTTGCTAACGATTCGACAGATGTGAGAACAACTTCATGATTTTTCGATGTCATTGTCGACGGCTTACTGCTCTTCATCAATTTCTTCTTGTAAACTGACTGCTCTTTTCAGTTTTGGTTTACAACCGAGTTATTTGTTACTTTCAGAAGTTCTTGTACATTAGGATATTTTTGATCTACCACTGATATCTTGGTGCTAAAAAAAAAAAATGATAATAATAATGAGATGCATTTATTTTTATTTTAAATTGAAGAAGAGTTAGTGACTAGATTTTTATGTATTAGTGAAGCTTTAAATCAGTTGGTAAATGTACTCAAGATTTGTAAGATCATCTTGATTATCTAAAATAATCGAGACAGAATCGGTTTCATTGTCAACTATTAGAAAACCGAAACGGTTGTAAGATATAAAAGTCTTTTTTATTTAAGCTAGCGGGTAGTTTATATATGGTGGATTGTACATTTTTGCTTTTTTGTTTCTTGACTGAGACATTAATTTTTTTGCCGTCCGTTTTCCAAATATATTTTGTTTAACTAGTACAAAACAGTAATAAGGTATATTGAGTTAACGGTTTCATACATTTACAAATATTTTAATATATTTTTAGGAGGTCTAAATCGTAGCTTTTTTTTTCATTATTCACAGTATTTTTTATCTTGACTAATAGATTTTTCGTGAGATATGAGAGCTTCTTCGAAATTATTTCGATACTTCGAGTGATTTGATGACAATTGTTTAATTTATCATTAATTGTACTGAGTTTTTCATTGTCAGATTTCCGCACCACTAGTAAACTTGCATTACTCGATCATACCATCAATTGTTTACCAGACATTTTTAATTTTCCATCACAATCCGTTGTCTTGCTTATAACCTGAAACTTTCCTGCGATTTCCTTATCGATAAACCTTTCCGATTTCATAGTTTTGTTGGATTTGTCAAGTAGTTTTGAATTCGATTCATTCAATTCGTCATCAACTGCGGTACGTCTTTCTTTAGGGGATAACCACAAAATATAATTGGAAGCCTTTAATTTTTTTAATAATACATTTTTACAAGCTATAATTGGTATGGAAACGGCTTTCGGAAGTAAATCATCCTTGATTTCATTTTCGAACTTAGTCTATGTCTTGATAATCTGGAAATCTGTTCTGGTCCTAGGAACACGTTTAGTTACAAACATCTGGACAAAACATAATGGAACATTGTTCCCTGGGCTTAAGAGTTCGCAAACCGACAAGACCATTAACTCCGTCAAGTGTGCTCTGACTGTAGTGTCCACTGAGCAAATCATTACCGTACATTTGCTGTATTCCATTCATTTCACGAACCATCCAATGAGATATAAGCCGTGCATTTCATGTCTCGTCCGTGCTGCGCAAATACATAAATTGACTTTTCATTGAAGAATTGACGTAACGCCGATGAATTTGGCTTGGTCACCAATGCTTCGAAGTAATTTGATACAAATTCTCTTCGATAGTCTTATGTATATATAATATATCAATCTTCTATCTTCTATCTTCTATATAAATAAAAATCTAATGCTGTTTGTAAGTCTCGCTAAAACTCGAGAACGGCTGAACCGATCTAGCTCATTTTAGTCTTAAATTATTTGTGGAAGTCCAGAGAAGGTTTAAAAGGTTAGGAAACCTAAAATAATTATAAAACCTAAATAATAATAGTTACCAAGGGATCAATCGCGATTACCTCACGCATATACTATTCAACTTTACACCGCCATGGAGACAACAACATATATCATAAACAATCATAGTTTTATTTCTCTATGTAATCTTATTTCCGCAATCATTTATTACACACAATTCACCAAAAATAGTCCTTTGCATTCGTATGAAAAATTTATCTATATAACTACTCAACACTGCACACACTTACTCAGTACGGTACTCTCCACGGTCGTGTTTTGTTCTCTCCGTGTATGTGCGCATGAATTTTTCACACTTTCATTAATTACAATTTACGATGCCGAAAAGAAGACGACCTGACTTAGGTCCTCGCAGTCAATCAAATATGCGATGAGCTACCTCACGTGCTAACCGCACTGATGACCAGACAGATCAAGAAAATAGTCATATTGCTTTAGTCAGTGACAATGAAATATATAGGCTTAGAATTCGTGCACAACAACAGCAAGCACGAAATAATGAAATTGATATGTGTTTATTGATGGCAAATAAAGCATTGTCATGTTTAGGAATGACGGCACCCAATCGTTATATGCACGATGCATTAAACCACGAGTTGCGAAGAGAACAACAGTACGACACTGGATCATTGGCCGAAACTGTTTGTACAAATGTTCCACAATTAAATCCACAACAAAGAATTGCGTACGACACTTTGATAAAAGATGTGAACAGTGGATCTGGTGGAATTTATTTTATTGATGCTCCCCGAGGAACAGGAAAAACGTTCTTAATTTCATTGCTTTTGGCGAGGATCAGATCGCAAAGTAATGTAGCTCTAGCGTTGATTCATCTGAAATAGCTGCGACTCCACTAGAAGGCGGGCAAACTGCACATTCTGCCTTGAAATTACCATTAAACATGCAAATCAACGAAACACCAATTTGCAACATATCCAAAAATAGCGCAATGGCCAAGATCCTACAAGTATGCAAATTGATTATTTGGGATGAATGTACAATAAATGACCCATAAGAGGTCATTGGAGGCCCTGGACCGAACGTTGAAAGATCTTCGTGACAACCAAAATATTTTTGGTGGGACCATGATTCTGTTATCAGGTGATTTTCGTCAGACTCTTCCAGTCATTCCCTAATCAACTGTTACTGATGAACTAAACGCATGCCTGAAATTATCGAATTTTTGGCGGTACGTTAAGACACTCCAATTAACAACTACCATACGAGTATTTTTGCAACAAAATGAAACTGCAAATGTGTTTTTGAAACAGTTGTTAAACATTGGTAATAATAAAGTCGCAGTGGACACTTCGATCGGATTAATCACATTACCCATTGATTTCTGGCACATCACAGACTCTAAAGAAGAGCTTATTCAGCATGTTTTCCTAGATATAGCACAACAGTTCAATAACCATAATTGGCCGCGTAAACGAGCAATATTGGTGGCAAAAAATAAAAATGTCGATGCTCTCAATGCAACCATTCAGAATTTTTTACCGGGACAGTTGGTTTCCTACAAATCAGTCGACACCATTATGAACCAGGATGACGTAATCAACTATCCCACGGAGTTTTTAAATTCGCTGGAATTGCCTGGATTACCACCACACAATTTGCTGTTAAAAGAAGGATCAGTTGTCATCATGCTGCATAGCATTAATCAACCTCGACTGTGCAATGGAACAAGACTGGCTGTGAAAAAGCTAATGAATAACGTCATTGAGGCAACAATCATAAAGGGAAAATACAAAGGAGAAGATGTCTTGATCCCGCGTATACCGATGACTCCAACAGATTTACCATTCGATTTTAAAGGTCTACAATTTCCCGTACGTCTGGCCTTTGCGATGACCATAAATAAATCGCAATCGTTGGAAGTTTGCGGAATTAACTTAGAGTTTCTCTGTTTCTCGCATGGACAATTATACGTCGCGTGTTCGCGCGTCGGAAAACCGTCATCTTTATTTATTTACGCACCATAAAACAAAACAAAAAATATAGTTTATCAGAAAGCTTTAAATTGATTAACAGACTATATCTTAATTGTGTGTGCCTATTAATATCAATTGAAACCTTATCGTTGTGACGTGACTATTTTTAAGCAAAATCATGTATAATAAATAAAACATCATTCATACCGAGCATTTTTTTAAAAAAAATTACGGATTCTATTTGTTTGTTTTAAGTTATTTTATACAAAAGTTTAGCTTTTTTATTTATCGAATGAGGCAATACGAAGTCGAAAAAATACCGGTTTTTACCTGAGGTGACTTTTTCCCGGGCAACGCCGGGTGGGATATATAATATCTTCAGTAACTGTACTTATTTTATCCATGTTAATATTAATATCGATATCTGTCTTCACAAATGTTCTTTTACAATCGTAATTTCAACTATCCAGCTATTTTTACAGTTGTGAGTAAAGATATACAAAAATGCTAGTCAATAATGAAAAATTAAAACCTATTCGTTATAGACACTTAAACATAATTTACGTTGATATAGTGTTATACGAAAGCTATAGTAAACAACTAAATAAATTAAATAAAACCCGTCAATAAATTTAAAAATGCGTATTATTTATATTATTAAATCAGACAAAAAATTAATTAAATATTAATATTATAATTAAAGGATATATGAATTACACATTTGTACCTTTATTTTGATAGAAAATTTACGAATTTTATCCGTATCGGTTCGTTGATGAAAAACATACATTTTTAATTTATTAAAACGTATTTTAAATATATTTAAAATGTAGTGGCATACATTATTTTCAGTAAAATGTTCAGTAAGAAATGTTAGATGACTAGATACATCGTTTATTATAATAAATTACTGTTTATAAGAAATGAATAATTAGTGATTATTGAGATCATAATTTTAGTATTTATAAATTTTAATTTATACCTATTTAATAAATTAGGAAATTATAACTGTTTTTGAATGAATATTTTAGAGTGAACTCCTTTAACTATAATAACTTTCATTGCATTCTTTGGTAACTTATTACATAATCGAATATACTTATTTAAAAAAAGAACACTTAGAAGTAATGACAAATATTATTTTTATGATCTCCAATTGTAAAAAATACCTTGTTATGATTTTTCGGTTATAAAATTTTGAAAATTAAAAATTATTTCTCACGTTTTTTTTATTTTTTTATTTTTTTGTTGATATTATAATTCTATTTTGATTTTTTACTACATAAGTAAGAAAACTTTTATATTACACGAAGTTCGAACTTTTTGAACATTTTATATCTAAATTCTATGGGCACTTAAACTAACCTAAAAAATAAAACTTAAATTCCACTATTACTTTTTATTGAGCTAAAAATAGATGTAAGATCCTACCTATTCAATTTCTTATTATACTCTTATAAAATATACTGATTTATAGATTTATCATACCAATATCATACTTTTGTATACCTTTTCAAAACAATAAAAAATGATTAATGATAATATTTACTTGAGCTGCACATCAGTCTTTTTTGAAATTTAAAACAATTATTTGACGATATCTTTTCTGTGTGTCAATTAAAATCTTCCAAACGTATCAAACCAATAAACCAAACTTTTTTTGTTAATTTTGACCGATTTATTTATGATCGCCGAGTTAGTTCAGGTATTTACTTATTTTCATATTAACATATGATGTGCCGTACTGTCGAATATAAAGATTTATATCTATAAATACTCTCGATACTTCCAGACCTATATCTCAAAATATCTTCAAAGCTCCGTGAACTAAAGTGTTTAATTATTTCGAAGGTACTATAAAATTAAGCATGTTAATTTTTTTTTTTAATTAAATCGTAAATGTTTGTTTCACATTTAAATAATTTTATGGACTTCTCTGAATTTTTACAGTCATAGTCATACATTTTTTTCATAATAACTATTCGGTACTCACTAAGTTTATTTTATTACATTTTATACACTCTAGTTTTGAATATTTTTAAACGCATAACTTATTCAAAGAAGTGTTTTTAATTTATTTATTTTTTGTGACTTTTTAGTCCACCGTCTTCTCTCGGTTACTTTAATAAATTCTCCACGATTTTTATCTCACTGTCCAGATAACTATTTAAAAATAAACCATATTCACTACTCAAAATAACAAATATAATAAAAATTCTATAATTCCACAACGTTTAGTCTTCAAAATAATCTATGTTGTATAAAATATATTATGATCGTTAATCAATTTCCTTAAAAGAATATTATAGTTATTAATATATATCAAATCGTGTGCCCTTTCGTTATATTATTCTGATATTTTGGTCAAAACGTTCCTATTACATTTCATTGGTTTCTGGCTTAATAAAACTAATTGCTATAACGGTTTGATATGAACCTATGCTGGGAAGTTTTTAGTGTGTGAAAAAGTCTCATATTTCAATAGTCGTATTTTAGCATCATAGTTCGTAGATTTTGTATACCATTATACTACAATAAGATACAAACACAATCAAATAACAGACTTAAATTCAAAGACACATTGCGCTCAAGTAGTTTTATACATAAAACAGTGTAAATATTTTCTTATTTCTATTTAATCCAATTTAAATATTATATTTTCTTGTAGGAACTCCATTAAACAATTTTCGCTGAATAAATAAGCTATTGAATGTTGATACAATGAAATATACTATTCATATTTGCGGTACAAATGTTTTTATAAAGGTCGGACCTATTGCAATAACAGTTTACAGTTAATAAATGCGCATTATTACCATGAACGAACTCGACACGTATATCGTTATGGATTCATATACATAAATATAATTCTGCTCAAAAACAATTCACTCACAGATTTACTGAGTAGGTAAATACATTGAAATTCAAAATAAGTAGAAAACTATTTAACTAACGTGAGGTGCCAAATAAATGCAATACATTTATTATAATAAGTAGGTTATAATTATTATTATTATCATATACACTTTTGAGACAAAAAGTCTCAAAAAAATATAAAAACCCATATGCTTTTAATGTACTACTGTGTATAGGCATGTTGTTTGTTTCTGCGATGTAGACATATATGTATACACTGTATTTATATTCTTGATGGCTTATTTAAAATGTGATTTCGACTTAAAGGCTGTTAAAAAAAACGAAAACAATAGTGAAATGCGCAGATAGATTTGTATTTTAAATGTTTAAAAAAAAAGTGCCATCGTCGTTGTCGATTAAAAGCATTCGAAAAATAGAAGAAATTAAAATTCTATAGAACACGATGATTTTGAAATAAATTTAATCTTACGCTCTATTCGGGTAGGTTTTTTTTTAAGGTTCTGGAATTGAAAAAGGAAAATAATCATTACGATAATTTAGATTTTTATGAAAAATTATGAATTACCTACGCATTATATTATAATAATAATATATGTTCGTATACATTTGAGCCGTTTAATTATAATTTACTACACACAATATCCATATAAATATAACTATTGCGTTAAAGATATAAATAAAAAGGGTTTTTAATGTTGTCTTCTTTTAATTCTATATGAATTATGTTTACAATAAATTATAGCAAAAGACTGTTGAACTGAAAAACAAATTAAGATCCATTGGGCTAATGTCGTTAATTAGAACATAAATCAATTAATTCTACGGTTTTAAAGCCGTTTATTAAATTGCTTTTATACTGTAGAGATATAATTAATATTAACATAACAAGCTTACACTATTGACAAATAACTAAGAAAAATTAGGTGCTTTCGATCAATATAAAATTCAAGCATTTATAAATTTCATAAAATACAACGCACCAACTAATATTTCTATTTACTGCAATAAAAAAGTAAAATAATAATAATAATATAAAAATGATAAACATAACCACTATGCCATTTTTTTTTTTTAATAAGTTGTAACAATTTTATAAAGGATTTACCCTCTTTACATTTAGTTTTTTGATATAATATAAACATTTTGAATGCAAATAATTATTGCTAGTATTCAATTGCATTATATATTATACAAAATGTGTTTTCTTTTTTTTTTTTTAATTATTGTGAAATAAAATGATATCGACATTTTTCAGTTACATCGATGATTGATGGATAATAAATAAAATTATAAATTTCAATTAAATAACAAGCCGTATCTAAGATTTCAAAATGTTATTACCAAACTGTAAAAATATGATATAATATTTCAAATCACAACAATTATTAATAACAATAATAATTAAGCGAAGTTTAATACTCAACAAACCAATATTTCTCTGTAATCAGTTTAAGAAATAATTGGTGTGCTGAATATTTTACGGTAAGTTTAAGTTTAAAAAGAAACCGTACGTGATTTAAGTGTGTAAACATACTCGAAAGAGTTAGTAATATGAGTACAACGAAACTGGCTTGCAGTTATAAACACTACGCATGAAAAGAACGCAAAAGTCTTGGAGGCTCGATTGTTTAATCGACTGTATCGTGACTAAGTATCTCTTAACACTCCGGTTGTTGTTGAAATCCATTAACGTCGCAACGGCAAAAACAGCGAACATAAAACATTTTTTTCGACATTATATTTTTATGTTCTAAACCCTGTGATTTCAACACTAGATAATTTAGATAATTTAGATATTTCTTTCCATATCTTGAACAATAATTTGTCAATAACTCGTTTAGGTACAACTGCTGTAGTGTAAATACAGGATAAAAAAAGAAAATATTTCCTGATAATATTTAGTAATATTAATATTATTATTTCTATATATATTTTATATTATTAATTATTAAATATATTAAATATATATTATTTATTAATTATATATTTAATACTATATATTTCTTAGTAGGTATTATTAAGAAACAATCATTATCTAAACGAAAATACAACCATGATTTTCATTATGACTTATTCTTTAAAATCATTAATATTGTAGTTAATCTTCATTGGTCCAAATACATCTAGGTAATATATTTTGAAGCAAAAAAAAAAAAAAAAAAATAAAACAAAAC